AAATCGATAAAAACGTAGGGAAACTGGGAAAATCGGTACAACATTGCACAAATATTATTAAAGAAAATATATAAAGCTTATTTAGTTATTTTACTGTAAAATGACATATATATTATTGATTAAGTATCGCTATCAACTAAACTTCCCTCAGAATCGTTTTTTGTAAACAATTGTTTATCGTTACTTGCAGGTATACCGTCTATATTAAATTACCTATTATAGTGATTGCACTCGTCCCCATTATCTTAGGACGTCTTTTTTTATTAATTATTCCATTTATTTTAGATTTTTTTCGTTCAGACTCGTCTTTAATTAACAATTGTACATCGTTGCTAATTGGTATAAATTGTAAAGTACCCCACATTTTCAAATACCCACCTACAACAGTGAATGCACCTGTCCCTAGTATTAGCTCTTTTTTTTTTATTTATTATTGTTACTTTCCGAGCATAGATTAAAATAAATATACATACAAATAATAATATATTTAGTTATACATAATCCAAGATACGAGTAAAATTGATAATAATATGGGGGGCAGTGATAGTTGTCGGTCCAGTGTCGTAATCTTGTAACAGCTGTAACCTAACAAATTGTTACAACACATTCTGCCTACGTGCAAAATGTCAATATTAATTTTTATACAAACGCAGTAGTTGTCAGAAAAAAAAAAAATACATACAAAACCTTTTACATCGCAATTTTGTTTTATGATTAATGATACGCTCGCAGTTGGTATACAAAAATACATTATTATACATATTTTATACGAGCATAATAATTATTATTTTAATACCATTAACTAAAAATTACGATGGGTTCGGAAAATTCGAAACGATCATATATCACTATTTAATATTATGTTACGTTTAAAAAAAATATCAGTGAGTATACTATAGTATATAGTGACGTAGGTATCGTCGTCTGGTAGGTTGGGTTAGGACAAACAAAATAATAATATTTTATGAGTAGTTTTTTAATTTGTCACTCGATCAATAAGTTAAAACTGCAGTAGTTTCTTGAATAAAAAAAAATATATATTAATAATAAAAAGGTTTCGTAGTTCCTGTGAGCCGGTATTATCTAAAAAAGACTTATATTATTGTATAAAAAATGGTAAATATGTTACAACAAAACAAGAAAATTCAAGAACCGGAGAATCTATATTATTATTATGATATCCGATGAGATAATATTTTTAACTGTATGAATAGAAGACGTAAATAATATTGAAATATTATGTAGACTAGGTGCGTAGGTATAGATTATTTATGGGGAGGGAAGAGGGGGTTAACTTTCAGTTATTTTTAATAGGCTAACCAAAAAAAAAAAAAATTGCTGTCAGGATTGGGTATTTTTTATTATTACTTATTTATTTAAAATTGGGATTTTGGCCTACGCCCTTGTGTAGACGATTACACAAATAGAATTTTGAAGTCAACGAATAAGAAAGTTATAACGATTTAATTTATTCAAATAAGTTTATTATTATAATAAATTATAACTCTAATTATATAATTAGATTTAGAAAAAAAAACATACCTACATAATAATCAAGGATCGGAAGTATTATTAGCATTTGGATAATTTTTGTTTAGGGAAACCTACAATATTTTGAGTGAAAAACAAATTTGTTTCATACTTCTTTGATGCCATATACAACATTTTTTGTTATTTTTTGCATATTTACCATCTATATTATAATTTTATTTTGCTTTGGTTATAGTACCACTAAATTCGTCCGAAAAATATGGTTGTATTCGGTTGTATCGCCGATTTTTTTGGAAAATTTATTTAGTTTTTAACAATAATTTGGTTAATTTATAATCGTGTCAGTCGCATTCTATTGTATTATTATCAGATTTAATTTCGGAAAATTTATTCAGAAAATTTTGTTTAGCATATTTTCCAAATTTAAGTGCTATTTAGAGCGCCTAAAATTAACTTTTTTAGTTTTATTACTCCCGAGCCCTGATTAATAATATTATCTTTCTATTATTATGAAAAAAAAAAAAAAACATGATATTTTAAAAATATCACGGATACGTATTATCAAGTATTTTTAAACAGTGGTGTAACTAGAGAAAGTGAAGTATCCCTGATTTGTTTATTATTTCTATATAACTCATGATATACAATACATAATTTGTAGGAATATGAGGATATGGAGGATGTATCTTTCTCATTAGTTTAAATATTATATTATTATTTACTTTAAAATTATTTTACAATTTAAAATGTATGCTAGTTACAGTGATGTATTTATTTTTAATTTTTGGGAGTTTTTTGCTGTAATTCGGTTATAAATACACGTAGAGACTTGAAACTTAGTAATAATACTTATATTGGACTTACCTAGACGTCACTTCAAATTATGTATTACCAAACTCTGCTCGGAATCGTCTTTCGTCAATCAATGGTTTATCGTTGCTTACATATATAAATGAAATAACCTTATCCTACCTTCCTTCCCAACTTCTCACCTTCAACAGTGGCTGCTCCCATCCCCAGTATCAGTTCATTTTCTGTTTAAAAATATAAAATCAAATAAAAAGAGGTAGAAACTTCACAGAGACATTTTTCATGGAAAAATGCAAAACAAGTTTGTTACTATTAGATAAAATCATATCCCCCTCAATACAAAAACCTAAATACGCCACTGTGTTAGTATGTATGTGTTATTTTATGATTTATTTAATAATATATTGTTTTTCCATAAAAAGGTATAGTTAAATAATTTCTTCAATTTTCAAACATGCATTTTAAATTTTTGAAAAAATCAACGGGAAAAAATATTTTTTTAATCAACTTTGGACGTCAGGTCATTTGATTTATTTTAAATGGTTAAACTTCTATGTACGTATACCTAGGTATAATATACACCTACTATACAGAGGGATACCCAAGATTTTTTAGTGGGATAGTAGCTAAACTAAGAGGACTTGATTAAAAAAGCGTTTTGTAAAATTATATAATTAGTATTGTAGTAGGTAAAATAATTTGTTCTTAGATGAAGATGTGGAAATGTGCAACAATTATTATTATAATAAATTCTCAATGCCGAATAGTTTATAATAATATTTTTTGTATTTAACACGACTAATGAGGGGAGAGGAGTTAATGTATCCTAAGCTCTCTTCCTGGGTAGGCCACTGATACTATAACCCCCTGTATTATAAGTTACAAATCATATTGGATAAGAATTCTAAATCTTCAAAAACCTATGATAATAATGTGAGTTATTACTGTAGGTGCCTACTCATAAATATTATTATACCACTATGACAGTGATGGTAGGCAACTTTTTTGAGCTCGCCAACATAAACATAAAATATACAATAAATCGAGGAATACTGCTGTATTTTTTTCAAAAAAAGGTTTCAGTAAATCAAATTATACTTTTTATTTTATTTTTATTGGAACTGTTGTTCAATTCGTTACTTTTTAATCGCTATAATATCATACGATTATTTGTAATCAGCTTAATAATAGTTCAATTATACTTAAACTATTTACCATTAACTTTAGTCATTATTTAAACAATTAATAATTAAAACCCATATTTAAAGTTTAGAAATAGTACCTATACTACTAGTAGTAGGTGTAGGCTATGTAGTACTTACCTATTTAAGATTTCGATTTTTTTTAAGCGAGTCATATCTACTCGATATACCTACCACTGATCTAATAGTACGAAATGTTACATGTGAATAACTTCAAAACGATCTGATATGAACAATTCGGTGATGTAAAAATAGTGATGAACAAATAGTGTATTTAATTTTTTTTACTGGGAATTGATAATCAAAGATCTATTTTTATATTAATTAAGGTCCTTCATAAATTAGTTTTTTTTCAAATCGGTAAAAAAAAATTATGTCAATTCGTTTGTTTACATCATTGGTTCTCAACCCCTTAGATTTCACGTCCCCTTTGTAAATTTTCAAAAATTGTACGTCCATCATAAATTGAATACTTTGGTATACTTTATAAAATTATAATATGCGATATTCGTAATAATAATTTTTTTATTGATAATTATAATTATAAAATTGTTTGCGTCTCCCCAGCAATGTGTTCATGTTCCTTCAGATCCATACCCACATAACTATAATATTGTGTACCTCAACCCCAGTCCACACTAAGGCAACATAGAACGACATGTAAGTTGTCTATAATTTCCTTTTATTCCGTAACACGTGAAAACAAATTACAACATTGGAAACATAGTGTGCACATTTAAACAAAACCAGCGCAACATTTATAAACAATACAAAACTAAACTAAATCCACACTGATAAACTTGTATCTACATGTTGCCTGTTTACCAATTTATTATATTGTTTTTATAATTTTGTGGTAACATGTTTCGATTTCAATCAAAACATGAAACAATGATAAATTTGTGTTGCTTACAACAAATTATTGATGAAACATTTAATAACTTCTGGAAATATATAAGAACTTTTGTTATGTCAACATACTTCGACTTAAAAAGTTGTTACATGTTGCCTTAGTGTAGACCGGGCTTCATGTGCAACGTATTTTAGTGCCCTTTTTTCGATTAAGCCTATAAGGGTACCTATACATCAAAACCATTTTCACGGGGAAAAAACAAAATGCTATTAAATTTATATTATTATGCGTGTTATTTAAAATTGTGACATGAACCGGATCTCGGATGTGGTATTATAATATCGAAAAATGATGTTTGATAAGATGTTTAAAAGCTTTGAGAGACTGCATCAAACTTTCGTTTTTTTCTAACGGTCGCTATAATACGAATTACGCGAGCCGATTGACGGTCGTACACTATGATCGTATATGATCCCACTACTATAGCGGTGGGATTAAAATATTAAATATTACGTATATTGCGCGGCGGCGAGTCGAACGCGGAAAAAAAAATATTACGTTTTTTTATCATAAAGACGACGTGGTCGCGACTCTCATCAGGCGCGTTAGTGGGTCGTCGCGTATGTGGCAACACTGCGGTACTGGGAACCGAACGCATTAAATTCCGTCGACGGAACGGGCGAGAAACAGAGGCCGACGAGTTATTAAGCTTTTTGCCGTCATACCAGCCGGTACCGAGTACTCGCGTCGTCCCGTTTGATACGCACTTGGCACTAGTGCGCTACACGACCGACCACTACCGCCCGCCGCACCAGCAGTACACCGCCACGCCGCCACCACGCCGCCACGCCACCACGCCGCCACCACGCCGCCACGCCACCACGCCGCCACACCACCGCGTCCGTTTTTCCCGACGCTTCCCGTCCGCCCATCACATTACGCTACGAGGTACGAACGCGGGACAACGAAAGATGGCGTCCACTGCCACTGTGTGACCGTAGCAGCAGCAGCGGGCCGTCACTTACCGCCTCACCACCACCACTACCATTACCACCCCGCCGCCGACCGGCCTCATTCATGTTGTGAGTATAATAATGAGGAATAACAATAATAATGATAATATTATTGCCGTCGTGTACTCGCAGTGTCCAACGTGCGAATGCAATTTATCATTTAATAAATTATTGTTAATCGCTTTCGGTTTCATTTTAAACAAAATTCGAAAACGCCGCGGTGGTGACCGCCGTTGATTTACGTTCCTCCCCGCGGCGCTTGTCGGTCATGCGCAGATGACGAATATTCGTCATTTCGTATGTTTTTAATTTCGTTTTATTACCCGACCGTCGTTGTTATTACTTATATTTCCCAACGCGACGGTGCGGCCGCTGCTTACTGCTCCGGGTGGTCGGTTTCGTATTGTGATGTTACGTACGGGCACTGAGTCATGGCCGTTTTTGTCGCACTCCTCCCCTCGGTGACGACCAACTTATTTTTATTATTGTAAAAATGTTATCATAATAATATTGTCGTTCCGGAAATCCGTTTAATCGTTTATTAACAATATTGGATATTATCTTTCGGCCAGCTCGACAATGGTTTCCCTCCAATTCGGTATCGTACAACGACGGCCGCGATCCCGACACGTTTCTCTGTCGGCCGATTGCTTCGACGAATTTTTCGCGACTCGAAACGGAAGAACCGCACGCGGAATTGAACGCAGAACAATATCGTCGATGGTTCCCCTCTCGACACACACTCCGATACATACGTCTGCATTTATTTTGTATTCGATTCGTATAATATTTTATTTATTGGTGTGGATCTTGAAAGTCGCGTACGACGGGGGAGGGGAAAGTGCGATAAATAAGACTTGACGGCGGCAGCTCTTTGCGGGAGTCTGCGGCCGGAGTATAACTGCGCCTCTAATTATTCTTGTGCAATAATATAGCGAACAAAAAAAAAATATTATATACCTAACTAGTATCCGTACTACTAGACGACGATGAACATGCGGCGGGGATACGGTGTTGTTATTATTATCGTGTTAGTAGGTACGTCGTGGAGTTGTTTTGGCCAAGGTTGCGAATTGCAGTTAGGTAAACAGTACCTAGCTATTGTATAAAAAAAAATAATAATAACGCGTAGTGGCGGGTACAGAGCTCATTACAGTCTTAAACTTAAATTTTTTTTTTTTATCGTGTGCAACGATAATACGTATTATATTATTCAGTACTTACCTGCGTACGTATCCCGAAAACATTAACGATTAGGGTGTTTTTTATAATTTGTATAACACGTATTATTATTATATTGTTACAATGAGCGGTGGCTCTCCGTTGGGTATTTTTCGATTGGATTCGGGTAAAGGCTTCCTATTTTTTTTTTAAATAATGTATATAATTGCGGAATTGTAAACAATATAATAATAATATATTCTAAATCGTAAGTTTTTGCGATTCTCGTCTAGTGCATCATGAGACCATATTCTAACGAACGGACCCGGATTGGGTGGGTACCTAGCAGGAAATGTCTAAAGTGTACAGTTGGCTCCACAAATCTGTACAGCACCTATACAGTACACATTTACCGAACGTATTCAACAATTGAAAATAACCGACAATTACAATTTAGTTCTGTAGAAATATTTGTATAACTTCTTGTTTATAATTTGTTAACAAAAAAATAAATAAATAAAATCTTAGAAGTTTTTATGCTATTCGTAACATTTATGCTTTTAGAAGTGCTTTTGGACAGTGGGGAGAGGCACTTGGAATTTAAATACATCTAGGTAAACATTTAATTTGTTATTTTTGATGAACATAATTTGAAAAAGTTAAAAGTTCTGAAAGTTCACAGTTAGAATTTGAATTAATAATATGTTTAAATGATAAAAAAAATACTGTTTTGATACTGTAGGGTTAATACCAAGTAATGATTCAGCGTTTTCCTTTCGGTCAACTACACTTAATTAGATTAATAATCTCATGTAACGAAATTAAAAACAAAAATGTATTCCATGTTTTAGAAACCAATTTGAGATCATTAATTTTCATTAATTCGGTATCGTTTTTGTTTTTTTAATGTGACCACACTCGAGCATTCAAATCTGTATTAAAAATAAATTATCTTTTATGTTGTATTTTTGTTTTCTCATTGTACCAAAGTCTTTTTGGCGTTATTCTTATGAGGATTGGGGGCAGTGATTTTCTTTCTTTGTCTTATACAAGTAAAACATAAGAATTTAGACGTGTTCTATTTCTAACGTACTGATTAGTATAGTGAAGCGATAAGAAAAATTATGAAAAGGATCTATCTGGATCTATTGGTTTTATTGCGATGTGTGAATTTTTTTTTTTTAGTATTTCTGAAAGAAAATTTTATCGTTACAATGAATGGTCATTTTTTAATTTTTTAAAGGGGTTTCAAAATGATTGGGGAAACCCCGAAAAAATGAAAAATAAAAACTGATAAATTTATACGGTGTTATGATTTTATTATTATACATTTTTAAATTTTGTTTTCTACGAGAAATATTGCTCCAAAAGTTAAGATATTCTATTATTTTGATTACTTCTTTATTATTATGTTTTGTTTTTTTTTTTATATAGGATTTTGGGGGATAAAATTTAAAAGTAGGAGTCAATTTCAATTAAATTTGACGAAAAATAATTCAAATCTGTTTTTAGAGTTCACTAGACCAATTGGTACGTTGGAAATAGAACACGTCTAAATTTCCATGTTGTACCTACCTGTGTAAGACAAATAAAGAAATTCACCTAGCTCAATGCCCTTAAAAACACTCTGATACAACAAAATACCACTGAAGTGAAGTTTAAAACCGGATAGATTTATAATTAATTTTTGACACAAGTATTGCATAATATGATAAGGATAACAATATAGTATTTTCACTTCAGTTATTACCACGGTTAAAGATATACTGGTTACACAGCGAGGAGTGATGGTTATCACTAAAGGCGTGCGCTTTAAACAGAGAATGTACGCATGTGCTTAGTCAGTCCAACTAACGAGCAAAATAGCAAAATCTGCCTTATGCAGACTGCGAAGAACTCGCTTAATTTTAGTTTTAGAGTAAAATCATCTATTATAAAACTAAAAGAAGACAATATTCTGTTGGACAAGGCTATGCGTTTTTCCTATTATTCTAATTATTATTCCGGATATAACGTTTGGAAATAACCGTAACATTTAAAAACAACGAAAAAAAACATTGGACCGTATTTAATCCTATAATATAAAATACCACATTGGATCGGGCCGAATAGGGATTCCTTTATTATTTATAAATATTTGTATGTTTATAAGACTTCTAAAGTTCTTTGTACTTTATAATATGTTTTCTATTGTTACAATATCGTTATTTCCACCAACTAATATTAAATAAAACATTTTAAACTAAAATTATAAAATATTATGGTATTTCAAATTTAATATAGGCGATAAGCAATAATACAAATCATACATCATGAATTATGGGATAGTATCAGTTAATTTAAAAATAACACGAAAAACAAAAAAAAATATAATATCGTTCGGTTATCCATTTTCGCCGTGTGTATTTGGAATATTCTTTGAAAATGAATGTCTGGAGAAAATAATTGACATTGACCCAGTAATAGTTCTGTTTATTTTAGATTCTGAGTGGTGCGAAAAAGCTTATGGTTTTACAAAGATGTTTATTTTTTTTTTTATCTGTTAAAAACTTTTCTACCAGCAGACTTGCTCGGATTTCTAAGTTTAATACCTTTTCTGAATGGAATCGGTGTGAGAAGGAAATCGAAAAATGACCTCTCTAAAGTACCTCCCCAGTGAAATTTCCTTTCAGGAACATTGCTATCATTGAAAGTTGGAGCGAAATTGTCCACATGATGAAAAAAAAAACCGTCATTTTTATTTATTATAATTCGTAAATTTTCCCGTTTTTTTTTTTTCATTCGCTTATTCACATTTGGTGAGAAAATCGAAAAATGAAAGTACCTCCCCACACTGATTTCCTTTCAGAAAAGGTGCTACATAAAAGAAAAAACATCTTTGTAAAACCATAAGTTTCTTCGCTCCACTTAGAATCTAATATTACTATTTCTTTTCCCCTGCACAACTTTTCAACCAGCAATTTTGCTCCAACTTTTAACGATGACAATGTTTCTAAAAGAAAATTTCACTAGGAAAGTACTTTAAAGAGGTAATTTTTCGATTTTCTCAGCAAATGTGAAAAACCAGGATAAAACTTGGGAAAATCGGTAAAACATTAAACAAACATTATTAAATAAAATATATAAAGCCTATTTAATTATTTTACTAAAAAATGACATATATATATATTGTTAACAAAGCATAACTATTAACTGAACTTCACTTAGAATCGTTTTTTCGTAAGCAATGGTTTATCGTTGCTTACAGGTATGAGCCTAGATAAAAATAAAAATAATATCTAAATGAGATAAAGGTAATTTCGTAAACAGTTATCTAGATTCAGATTCAGATGATTGTTTTTACTTTTATCTAGATAAAGATAAAAATGTTTTTTATCTATATACCATAAGTGATATTTTCATTTTTTGTTTGAAAAGAACAAATATATTTCTTAATTATTTTAAACGAATTCTTTTATTTTATGACCATTCTTTTTAATAAACAATTTTCTTATACAGTGCCTTATTTTAATTGTTAACAGCGATTTATTTCTCTGTACCTACTTTTTTACTTCAATTCAAACTGAATATGGAGATGCTGTAGGTCTTCTTAATTTACAACTAGTACGTTTACAGCTAAGCTAATATGCAAGTATTCGTTCAATATTAAACGTTGAGTGACTAGTGTTCGTCAGCAATTGAATAATATTATGTTATTGTTTACAAGGCATAACTAATAGTATGTTCTGATCTATTTATGTTCGATTTACCCTTCGACGACCGCCTTGTCATCCAAAAATAAAGATAATATTATAAGTTATAACGGAATTTGTGAACGTCTAGCGGGACAGTGCTGAATGCCGATGACTATACTCATTAATTTATATCTATATAGACTTGTAGTCATGCATCATAATATAATATATTTTCCATCACGAGCTCATGAAATGATGTGCGTCGCTGGACGAAGTTTTTACAATTTTACGTAATAAATAATAATATTATTTCGGTTTATATTAATAGACAAGAACGATAGTATTTCCTTGAAACCATTTCTAGTAACCAACATTACAGGAGTAAAGTAATGATAAATAACAATTGCATTCGTGTCAACGATAATGTGCTGAGATAACTATACCTATACCTATATTAATATTATACTAACTGTTATTAGAAAAATTAAAATATTCACGTTTATTTTCAGAAATAGTGTAATAATATTTTGTTTGATCAAGTGATAGATTTGCTAAAACATGTTTAATAAAATTAAAAATTTAAAGTACCAAACTACCAACAAATCAATCAAAAATTCAAAATTAGAAATAATTTATTTTGATAGGTATACAGTTTATCTTAGATGACAATCAGATACCTAATATCTTATATATCTATATGAGATAAAAATACTTTAGTTTTATCTAGATACTGCTCAACATTGCTTACAGGTATACATTAAATTGTATATAACAGTGACTGTACCCGTCCCCATTATACGACGTCTTTTGTTTATTTGAATATAATATTGATAATGAAATGAAACAATATAAGGTAAAAAAAATTGTGTAAGTGTTGGGTATAATATTAAAATAATAAAATACTCGATCAATTTTATTGTATCAATAAAATTGTCAACAATTTCAAATATTAAATATTAGACTCGTAAAATATTAAGACTAGTATTAATTAATGTTAAGTTATCAACTCTCATTCGGTTTAGAAAAATATCTCGGATGCCATGTGAATGATCAAACATCAAGGTTCAAAGAGTTCGATGTTCAATATTTTGAGGATATATCCTCTTCTCTTGCGAGTGTACGATAATATTGATAACATGGAAATTAATATCAAAATATTTATGATTGTTAAATTATATTGAATGTGTCTTCAATTGTACCTACCCATAAACCTTCAATATTATTACAAACTATAATTAACTGAACTACGCTCAGAATCGTTTTTTCGTTAGCAATTGTTTATCGTTGCTTACAGCCATACATTAAATTCCCATCTGTATCCCACCTTCCCAACTTTTTTATTATTTTTTGCATAGAATGATAACAGTAAAAATATAGGTAGGTAAAATTTGTGATATGCAGAAATTTGGATAATCCAAAAATTTTAGATTTCAAAATCAGAAAATTCCAATTTTATGTATATATTAGTTTTTCGAGTTTTATGAAAATACAAAATTTTATTTATAATTATATTTCCAGATTTTGAAATTTTGGATTCTGAAACTACGGGTTATCGAATTTCAGTAATACAGATTTTTCCCACCAATAGGTTTACCTAGTAACATGGTAGAACTAATAATAGTACATTATAATAAGCAGTTGGTATTCTATATTGATATTTAAACTGGGCTAGAATGTACCGACCTTTTAGAAATAGACTGATCAATTAAATCAGGGTTAGTAATATACGTGTATAAAACGTTTTATTCAACACATATAATACCTCCAGATTAAATATCTGTGGTTATTAATTATCAATATCAATTAACAATTATTATGCATGATATTTGCTGTTCAGTACAGACAAAAATAATTTTTAATACAGTATAAAACATAAAAATAGTAGTTTTATACTTTACTTGTATTATAATATGTTGCAATCCTGAAAAAACTGTCAATTTAAAGACTCGGACCAAGTAGCCTTGCTGTGCACTGATGGAGTTCATTCATTTTAAATTTTAAAAAAGTACTTTAAGTCAGTGAATAGAAAGGTTTTTTTAATAAAAAAAAAGATAAAATTTAGTTGTTGTAAATTTAAAATAATGTACCTACATTTTATTATTAAAAATTAAAATATCCACAGAAATCAGCCATAATGGTACAAAATATGCACTAGAGACACTAAGGTACCAGCCAATAATGAAAATATGTGTAATTTTAATTTAGAGCTATGACAAAAATTTATCTGCCATTTCCTATTATTTATATTCATGTTAATAAATATTAAACTCAAGAAATCTATAGAGCTAAGGTCTTTTGTTATTTTTTGATTGAAGCAAGATTTCTGGTAAAAAAGTTCTTTACAGATACAAAAAACAATAAAACCAATAGAGCCCTTGCTACATTCAAAGTCTAAAAACATTAATATACATATATAATTGTTTATGAATTGAATAAAATAGAAAATATCTTTAAAATAAATAATTCAGGTGACATGTAACATTGTTATAACTCATAATATTTAAATAAACTGAACAATAACATAATATTATTTCTATTATGTATAATAATGTTAAGGCCTTCTTAATTACTTAATTAATGATTTATTGAATAATATTATGTATACACTATACATAATATTAAATAATAATATATAATGTATATTGTATTTGTACATATGTCAATATTATGATATTAAAAAAATAATTGTTTTTTTTTTTTTTTTTTTTTTGAAAAACATAATGTAATTAAAGGTATTAATTAAATACACTTTTAATTTCAGGCTAATAATGGCGACCAATACTAAAATTAATACTGTAGGTGAGAAACCTCTTGAAAATCAAGATTTGAATACAGTTTGTACAAATTTGGAGTTTTCTGATGATAAAAGATTACATCCACCAAGAAAAAGATGTCTCAGCACATCAATTATTATAAGTCCATCACCAAAGAAAAAAAAGAAAGATAGTCAAAATATAATACCCCCAAAAAAGTTTTTACTTGGTGGTAGTATTTCTGATCCACTTAATTTAAATAGTCTGCAGAATGAAGATATTAATAAGTAAGTAAATATATAATTTAATATTATTTTTTTATTAAAATAATTTAAACAATCCAATATTTCTTTTTTAAGGGCAATGAATATGACTCCTAAGTCGTCACCTCTTCATTCAAATACAATAAACATAAAAAAAGATCAAGTGAATGTTATAATTCCAAAGAATGTATGTGATCCATTAGAACTCAGTACATGTAATGAAGCCAACAAAATTTGTTCGGACTTAGATATATTAAAACAAAAAACAATTAATACATTCAAATTGAGAAAAGTTTTTTCAACATCATTATCATCATTATCATTATCTGAACCTGATTTACTAATTGAAAACACTTCAGAAAATAAGTAAGTTCAATTTATATTTTTTATTTACTAATTTTAATTTATATTTAAATAATATTTATATAATGAAGAAATCTATAACATAGAAACTTATTTTATATTAATCTTACTACATAGAATTATTGTAATAGGTTCATATAAATAATCAGTATTAAAATTTGGTACTTTTCGGTTCTCCGGACTAATTTTCCAGTTTTCTCAATCAGTTATCTCGACTACTATAGCTCATAGGTATATTTTGGTCTCCTGTTACTTACCTGTGGCTTTGCTATTAAATCTGGATTTATTTTTAGTATTTGTGTTTTAAAAGAAAACTATTAGTGTGAGTTGAAGTTGTAATTTAATTAAATGGACAAAATAATTATTTTGTTAAAGTATTACCCAAGTACATAATTATCTATAAACCAATGAAAAGAAAAGTTTGTCTTCAATTAACAAAAGATTAATGGAAATAATTTTAATACATCTAATCACAATTATATTAGATGATCAACTGTGCATGACAAAAATTACATCTGTTATTTTAATTTTTTGTACATTAAAACCTTTAGTAGTTTTAATAATTAAAAACAATTATAACTAATAAACGAGTATACCAGGTGATCCGTACACTCATTATCTCGGAAAGTATTAACTTTTTACGGAATTTGTTTTCTAGAACATTTAAGAAACAAGCAGCTCTACAATTTTATATTTATGTTATGTTTTGTCACCCTTATTTTAGAAGGTAAAATCACCAGTGGCGTAATTGGTTGTTTGTGGAGGGATGACATTTTTTACATTTTACTTAGTAACCCTCCTCACAAAAGAAAAATTGTATTTATCATAAACACCTTTTAGTGCAATAAATGTATGTACCTATAGCCTATACATGTGATAACCTGATCATAATGTATTGATCAGATAATCTTAGGTTACTATATACATATGCAGTATGTATTCCGCTAAATAAATTTACTAAACATACCTAGCATACCTAACATACCTATATAAGCAGTAACCACACAGCATATTATACTGTTTTTTTTGAGAATATATAATTTACTGCTTATAGATGGATACTACATATTATATAAAGCTCATTTAGAGGGTCTAAATGCTGCTTTTGCTGTATTTTAACGTAGGAAAATTGATGTAAAATGGCCTAATAAACAATAGGTACCTATTTTACAATAATCACATTTATGAAAAATTATCGGTTACTGCCTTTCACTTTGGCAGGACAGTATTTATGTACAGCCAGCACAGGGAATTTAGGTTTTTTTGTACTTCTATAAAATATAGACTAAATAATATAATAATATTTATAGCTAAATAAGTACATAAATGAAGTCCCCTAGTCTTTGTACATAAAAAAAAAAGGTCTTGGGGGGGATATGACACCCAAATCCTCCCTCTGTGTAACTATGCCACTAAAACCACTACTTACTTTTGGTAACCCCTATACTAAAAATGTCATAAACAGATGGAGTATTAGTTAAAATAAATTTTGGTGTTGACATTTTTGATTTGTGTCGAGTCATTGATGAGATATTCCATTTGGATTGAAGGAGAGTAGTGGTGCATTATTAACACACCGTGTGCCATATCGCCACATAAATGATACTCCACTATTCTCTTCCAACCGAAACTTAAAAGTGGAATATCTCGTTAATGGATTGACAGAAATAGAAAATTTCAACACTAAAATTTATTTTAACTAATACTCTATCCATTTATTGACGTTTTAAATATAGGTTGCCATTTTAAAATCAAAAGTAGGTAGTGGTTTTACTACTAAAAATAACAAACATGTAAAGTTGTAGAGTTGCTGTTCTAGAAAACAAATTCCAAAAAGAAATAATACTTTCTGAGATAGTGAGTGTACCCACTTAAATGGATCACATTGTAGACATGGTATTTAATTTTTATTAAGTAATTTATATTTATTTTTAAATTAAACACATACATTTTTTTAATAATTCTGTATTCTCATTTTCATGTACAAAATTCAATTTCTTTTAAAATTTAGTTTTGGAAGTTTATCAAAGCAGTATAAAGTTAGACACAATTGTTACTATACAAAATTTGTTTAGAATGTGTGTTACACTAATTTTATTCAAATAATATTTTAATAACAATGCATTAGATGTCAAATGTTTTGGATTTTAAATGTGTAAAAATACGTACTAAATTTAAGGTGATGGTTTTAAGTTGGAATTGTAAAGAACTATTAGAAAATTATAGGTATATTTTGTTAGATCAATCTTTTATCATTGGCTGTGTTTTGGTGATTGACTTTGTTATATTTGTTAAACTACTTGGTTATTTTATTTAGGTTAGTGACTATAGATTCACAATTTATTAAAAATAAATAATTGATAAATATATTATATTCTTAGATATTAACATTTATTTATATTTTATACTGTATAAATGTATTATCATCAATTTCAAAGGTATACATTAGTATTTTTAATTTTTCACAAATTCAATAATTCATTAATAGGAGACCAGATTATAACAGACAATTTATATAATTTGTATATACATGATTTTTGGTACTAATTTAACTATCTTTTCTTCAGATTGAATATTAATGTGTTTTTTTTTTATTTATTTATTAATTTATTTAATAACTTACCACTTTAACATTACACAAACCGTTTTCATTTGAGTTAATTTTAAAGCTCCTCATTAAGACAAAATTAAATAACGTGTTCATATGATTTGACAATACTATTATTTTATAAAATACACTCAAAACCAAGATATTGAACAGAGAATTATGATTTTACAAAAAAAAAAAGTACCGACTGGATATCCCTAATTTATCAATAACCGTGCTTTTTTGTTTTGGTTATGATACCTAAAAGTAATAACAAAGATAGTCGAGACGAACCGTTTATAAAATATAGTAACCAGGTTACATTTGGTTATTCATCATAATACGCCTATCGTATTTTAAATGGTATAAATTGTGATAATTTATCACTGATAACGGTTTGTTCCGAAACTATCTGTTTTGCGTTATCTTATTTCCGTTATCAAAGTATAATAATATTATGTTCCTTAAAAAAAAAAATTTTCATTTCACAACTATTTTTTTAAAAAAAAAACGTTAAAATACATAAGAACAAGTTTGGTTAACATGAAGAGATATATTGAAGATGTAGTGTTTAAGTAGGTATTTAAAATAGATAAGTTAAATTATGATAATTATATTACACTCTCTAGGCACATAAATACTTAATTATTGTAAGTTTTTTTATGAAGTATTATAAATAATTATTAAATTGCATTTGTTTTTCAGTTATTTACAGGAAAGAAATAATTTTAATAATATAAATTCTTCTCCACCTAACAAAAAGTCTAAAATTGAATCATTTGAAACCAACAAGAATAACATACCTTATGTTGTGGTTGAAGTTATAGAACAGATTATGCAAACAATAGAAAATGAAATTTCTGTTCAGTCAATATCAGAGGCCTGTGTTATTCCAATTCTAGAAATTCCTATTGAAACAGTTATTGATAAGGTAATTATACCATGCAAAATGGTGTCATCATCAAAAAAAATCATTAAAGATTTAAAGGAAACTGAGTCATCTGGAAATATAAATCCTACTAAAGATCTGCAGTCGTCAATTTCAGAAAAACTCTGCAAATCTCAGCTGGTTATTGATGAGTCATCGTCTAAACCAAAGACATCATTTAAACTAAAACAAAAAGTTTATAAAAATGAACCGAAGTTTAAAGAAAAAAATGCAATGTTTAAATATGGAAATTATAATAGGTAAGATAATATGTTATTTTAAAATCCAAAATTATATTAAATACTAGTGGTGACCCTGTAGTTTAGCACAGTTAAAAAAGTAATTCTAAAATGAAAAACTCTTATAACTCTTTAATGTTGAATGGATTAAATAATTATTAAAAAGTCACATTAATTTAGTTTAATTAAAATGTATAAGAAAATATTGTAATATTATTGATATTATATTTTATGACATAATTTTGAATTACTTATTAAATGTTATTGTTTATACATTTTAGTTTTTTTTTTTTTAGATATTATGGTTATCGTAATCCTGATGATGAAGATATTAGACTAAAAGTATTAGCTGACCGTGTAGATTTATTTTATGGCAAAGATGTGCTAGATATTGGATGTAATATTGGTCATGTGACATTCAGTGTTGCCAGAGATTTTGGTGCAAAATCAATTGTAGGAATGGATATTGATCGTAAACTAATAAATATTGCACGAAAAAATGTTCAATATTACATCAATGATACAATTCATTCTTCTTACCCATGCCAGTCAACAAATTACCAACTTAATGATTATGCTTCGAATAGAAGTCATAATCTCAATAGTGATCTGTTTCCAATAAGTTTACCTATGCTTTATGGTCCTATAAATTTACCTGGTTTGACAATATCTGGAAGATTTCCTTACAATGTTTCCTTTGTACATGTTAGTAAAAAATTTTAATGTATATTAATTATCTAAGTTTATGTTTTATAATTTATAACAGGATGTTTTTTTTAGGGAAATTATGTATTGGAGTCTGATTCTATGCTCTTAATGGAGACCTGTAAATTTGATGTTATTCTTTGTTTGAGTATTACTAAATGGCTTCACTTGAATTGGGGTGATGATGGCTTGAAACGAGCATTCAAACGTATGTATGCACAGTTGAGACCAGGTGGAGTGTTAGTTGTAGAGCCACAGCCATGGAAGTCTTATGGACGGAGAAAAACATTGACTGTATGATTATTTTTAAAATAATTTTTATAATAAATTAACATTTCTTAATGACCGCTTTACATGTAATTTTAGGAAACAATTTGGCGAAATTACAAGAATATTCAGTTCAAACCAACAATGTTCACTGAGTACTTAATAAATGAAGTAGGCTTCATTAATTGTGAGACTCTTCCCATGCCAAATCACCCATCAAAAGGATTTCAACGGCCCCTTAAACTATATAGAAAACCAAATAACTTAGTCACTAGAAATGTTCCCAACTGCACAATCCTTAAACCTAAAGAAACCCAAAAATTATGAGCATGGTACTGGAATAATTATAAATAATTTATTATTTATAACTATTATAAAATATTTGAATTATTAATTTTATTATTCATAGCAATTCAAGTGAACTTCTTATATGTTGACAAAGATACTACATTTTTTAAAAATATGTTTCAATTTCAAAATATCTTATATTATAGTACAAATTTTATTCATAGTACAATATGTTTGAAAAATTATTATTATTATTACTTTTTTTTAGATTGGTAGTATTGTAACAGTTTGGTTTTATGAAACAATTTTATGTGACTATAATGATTTCTAGTTAATTCATAGATTTCTATGTTTTAATATTTAACTTTACATAAAATTGTTTAGTTTTTTAGAAACAATATAAAATATAATTTCAAATGATAATATTATTCAGTAACTATTTTAATATAAATGCACTATGCTATTTCACACATAAGTTTGGTTACATTCTTATATTATAGTTCAGGGCAAAATCAAATATTTTTAATGCTTGATAAATTAAATGCTAAACCTTGAAATTATATTGTATTTTGTACTATAATTGTACTGAATGCTATTTGTAATATTTTATGAAATTAAAAATAATTTATTCTTGTAGACATGACACACAAATTTTGTAACTTATTTATAAGTTCAGTTTTGTACGCAATTTTTTTCTCAAAATGTATTGTCACTTTTGCATACATATTAATGTATTTCATGATATATATTACAAAACACCTGTATTATTTTTTATACATAGCATAATTAAGTTTGTTATATTACAAATGTGATTAGATTCTAAAATATTTAAAATAATCTGAAAACTAGTTGTAAAAACATATGTGATTGTATTTTGTCTGCAATTTGTTTTTTAAGACCCCAAGCCGAAATTAAATTGTGATTTTAGGTTAAATTTGAATAAAAAGAGATGAATATTTTCAAGACTTATGTTTTTATTTTAAATATTTGATTGAAACTAATTAAGGGATTAAAAATTGAATTCCCAAATATGAATTATTATAAATATCTTTTTATTTGTCTGATATACCTCAAAGATCTACAATAGATAAATACAATATACCTACTGGGTCTATCAATTTAAAAAGGAAGGACTTACCCAAGCACAGATATATTATATTTGTTTCATTAAAAATGGTATTAACAAATAAGTGGGTCATCATATCCATATAGCTTGATATATTTCTTCCATGGTCTTTATGTTTTTCTGATACCCTTCTTCTTTTTCCTCACTATAGTTGAAATGAAGATGAGAAGAAGTAATTTGAACCATTAGAAACCACAATATGTATTTTTATTTATAATATAAAAAACTATATAAAAATATATGATATATACAGTTAGTAAGAGTGCAATAAGTAAACACATTTGGTGATAATAATAATAAACAGTGGAAGAAAAGTATTCATAACAAAATGTTAAGTTTCAAATATTTTTACCAATTATATAATATATATATATAATAATACACCAATCATGTAAGCTCATAATACCAGCAAAATACAAAAATTACATTTTAAAAATTCTTATAAAATTGATTATTTAATGTTTATAAATTTGTAATTGTGATTTAACTAAAAAAAAAAAAAAATGGTGAAAAGTTTAGCTTAGTTTTTTAATGCATAACTATCAAACTTGATTTTAGAGGCCTGAGAAAACAGGCTATATTTGAATAGATTGGTCTCAAATTTTGCACAACTCTTTAAACATGAATTTAATTTGATAATAGGGGAAAGTGTTTTCAAATTTTTTTAAGAGTATTAACTATGTAAATACCTAATATTTGATTTTTAAAAATTTGAGATTATCTCAAAAATAACTGAATTTTACAAATTTGAGACCAGTAGAAAAATTCTATACAGAATTCAGTATTATATTTTTAACCACAGCAATTTTCTGACTCATGTCAGTGGTGGATCTGTTTTCCGATTGCTCTTTGAAGATATGTATTATTATATCATAATCAGAGCTGGACAAAGTCAATAAAAATTGATTTTTAAAATACAAGTTCAATATTACCAAATAAAAGATTTTGAAAATACTAAATTCATCATTTAAAATCAATGATTTCAAAATCCAAAATCCACACCTTAAAAATTGTCTTAACTAAATATTTAAACAATTTAATTATCCAAAAAAGTATTTTTTTATTTTGGTCATTTTAATCCATCAATTTTAAAGTTATTGTTTAATGTAATAAACAAATTAATTATAAAATAGACTGTACACACTACACAGTATGTTAAGAATTTAACTAGAATAGTTACTGGGTAGTGTTTACAGGAGTATAGAACTATAGGACATAATTTTTTTATGACAATAAAATAAATATTTATTCCTATATGCATATACGTATAATTGTATAGGTAATAATCAAACGTTTGGTCAGTTTTTTTAAATAAATATAATATAATAAACATGTTTTATTAAAATAAATAAACAATTTGAAAAACACAATTTGATTTCTGTTCATAAATTATACTTCAAATGTAACAGTTAAATACAATTATTATTAATCAGTCAAATAAATTTATTTTGGCCGTATTGTGTTTATAGTATAGCCATTATTATCTATGTTTATAAAAATTATTACACATATTACGCCAAAAACACATTGATATGGTATCAATGTTTAGTATCAATATTATTGGTAACTGGCTATAGTTAATATGTATCTAATAACCGTGATAATCGGTTGCTGGATCCATTATCACTTCTTTTTTATCAATTACTAAAAACCATGAATTATAAAAGTATAAAAAATATTATCTAAGTTCATGTTAAAAACTGGCAAATCGAAAATCAAAATCCTTTTTAAATTGATTTTAAAATTTAAAATCCAGAATTTTGAAAACAAAGGATTTGAAATCATGCCCAGCTCTGATCATAATGTATTATATTGATAAGTTTGAACTATTAACAAAACAAAATTCATAGTTCGTACCACGAATTGAGTTATACAGGACTGGACACGAATATGGTTGGAGGGTGTGAGGGGTTGACTATGAAATGTTATAGAACGGGTGGCGTACTGGGGAATTCGCCTTTCTAGCATTACTAGGGCCTACTTAGTGAATACTTACGGAACTATATAGATCACGGACACGATGGACTAAGATCGCCTTTCTAGTGTTACGGACCCTGTCCTTCACGTGTGAAGTGTGTTAATTATAAATTAAGAATTCCACGCGACAAAATATGGAATCGGTCGTCGCATTAAGTTTACGCACGTAAGGGCATTAATACGGTCGTGGTAAACCGACGACGTTCCCATGCAACAACGGATGATACGTGTTCACGGGCCAAAGGGAAAACGTGCCCGGGTGCGGACGACGTGCCACCAGTAGACAACGGCGGCAGCGTCCACTACCACCTAGGCCACGATCGAGGCGACAACCATATATAAGGTGACCGGATTCATCAACAGAAGAACTCGAACTCAGTCAGAAGTCCAGACAGCTACGCCATCACCGACGCACGAGAAGGAGGAGCACTGTCACCTCGACACCTACCCGTCCAGTCATTTCTTTAGTGTATTTATACCTAATAATTACAACCAAGTCTTGACCCGGGTCTGGTGTCGCAGGTTTTTTACTTATAAATACAACTTGTGTCAACAGTGTTTTGTTCAAATTCTAATAAAAATCCATTTGTAGACCTAACACACGTGCACACCATCCCATCGAAAGACTGTGTCCGAACGGCCCGTAACACTAGCATTACTAGCGCCGTAATACTAGAAAATGGTTGTTAAATTTTTGGCCTAAATTATGGACAAATGAACAGGTGACAGGATTTCAGGGATAATATCCACGGATTGATTGCTGCAAAGATGGGAAACTAGGATATAGTATTTGCATAATAGTAAAAAATAGCATTCAATTTTAAAAATTCAATAGTGATGGTAATGTTGTTGCTGGTAGTAATAAAACAAATTAATTGGCTTCTTTGAGGAGTAAAATAAAACATAACTCGGAAAGTAAATCTCACGTGTATGCAGAAAACTTGTTAAATAAAGGTTCAAAAAAGTTTTGGACGATATGTTTGAACATATGTCTGAATATGTAACGAAATCGAACACCCGACTTTTTAATATTGTATATAGCATGGCAAAGCATCATTGGCTGTTTTTACAATATGAAGAACTAATACAACTCCAGCAAATCAATGGATTAGATATAGGATCTTCTTTGCACAGCCGAACAACTGCCACTCGAATGGTAAATGTTATAGCAAATGAAATACGCAAACGACTCATTACACCTCTTGTACAGTCAGAGTCAAAATTCACTATAATGACGAATGAATTACCCACGCTGAGCTCTAAGTGCAAGTAGTATAAAATAGCCGGTTCTAAATCAAGGGGAGCTATACCTAATACGTGGCCCCCCGAATTGCCCACCACTTTTTGCCCACCGTTTAGGTCACGTCCACTTTCGACATTGTTACCACACTGTTATCACCGACATTATTACCACACTGTTATCACGGTTATATCTGATGTTATCACAAGTTATACTTATCGTTATATCTTTATGGTTACTCTTACCATATTTAAATTATCATGGTTATACCTGCTGTTATCACAAGTTATACAATATTTTATCTTATCACGATTATACCTACTGTTAAACCTTCTGTTATTACAAGATATACCTAATACATATATCGTTGTACATATTAATATATCGATATACCTACTATTAACACAAGATATACCTAATACGTATATCGGTATACCTATTGCTATCACAAGATGATGTTTCAATACATAGCAAGTATTTCGTATACGAAATATATCTTCCCCGTCGTTGTTACACAAACACACACACTCACACCATCTACTCCCTGTTGATTATTTTAACAAAATAATATTACTCGTACGCGATTTGTAACCACCTACACGGAATATAATCGTTGGCGACATCGGACCTCTTCACCGCTTCTTCTTGCATAATACGACATTTTTTATACTCGTATACCCATACGAAATATAAGCGTCGGCGATCCCTATACCGATCTAGTTATAATAATAGTTTAGTTCAATAACTAATTGAAGCAGTAGTGTTCTATGAAAAATTGTTTCTGTAATTATATTCTATAGTGAGTTTATTAAACAATTAATTTAGGTATTATTTTGTATAATTAAAGATTATCATTATTTTGTATTTTAGCTGGTGAAAAATAACGTAACTAGTCGAGCATGATGGTGGTTTGAGTGAGAATTCACTGGATTACGTGTGTAAAGTTAGGGACCTACAGCTAGGCGCTTTTTTGATAAGGAATATCGTCATAGCTATTGTGTAAATTAAGTTGTCTATACCACAGACATTAAAGGAGTAACGTTGTACAAAGCAAGAATATTCAATAATTATAAATTTAACGCAAGATAGCGCAAGTGTATCTAAATAATTTTACTATTCTAAAGGTAACAGCTAAACTGAAAAATTACAGTGATCAATAAATTGTATATCATTTATCGTTGGTGTTATCAATTATTGCATATCGTTGTTTGGTAAATAATTCACATTGTATTTTCATTATCTATATCTTTTAAACTGTGGATACCTTTCTAAAAAAAAAATTAGCATTCGCATTACAAAATAGATATTTTGTCATACTAGGTACCTGTTTGTGTTTTACTGTTTTTCGGTTTATAAGAGATCCAAACATACATGTGTTACAAAATTATCTCCTAGATAAATACCGTCTTATATATTCTTCAGAGTTTTGTGAGATAAGTTTATTAGCTTAAACTTAAAGTATTAAATAATAATTTTGTGTTAAAAGACATTCAATATTAGTGATGTACATATGTGGATTGAGTGGTCAGGTCTAACCTTTTTAAATTAACATAAAATAATAAATTACTATATTTTAATTATTTATTATATTGTACAGTTCTGTTAACTGTGCAATGCTCTAATGCATACCTATTGTGGTTGTAAACATATGAGTTCACAGTCAGTACTTACACATTATATATGAAAACAAATTTCAGAATTTCCATGAGTGTCCCCCATTCCCATATACATACACTAATACAGTATATTTTATAATTTATACTATTCATATTATTATTTCTTTTTGTTAACCATTAGATTTTAATATTTATTTATAACATAGAAAGCTAATCATCTATCGAGGTTGGGCATGATGTCAGCCCACAATCAAGTAGAAAAGTATCTATTGATGGTCCCTCTTTAATCTCAGAAGATCAAGTTGATGGCAATATACATTATGGTTAGATAGTGGAAGGCTGTATTCTAACAGCATCTTCAGTTGATAAGCGCTGTGTTGTATGCAAGCATGGAGACTTACCTTTGGCACAAGTGGCTCCTGATGTGGTATGATGTATGGACTGGTACTGATAGATGAAATCGATTTTTTCAAATATACAAACACATTGTTTAGGTGTTTTTAGATTTGGGAGAGGAACTAGTCATTAATAACAAAGATATTATTCGAGAAAAATTATTAGGTCATGGAGCATTTGGGTTTTTTTTTCAAAGGGGTATGTAAAAGAAAAAAACCCAATCATACTATACAAATTGCTATTCAAATTTTCCAACTTGTACCTCCAGGACTTAATGTTAGCCAATCTGCTGTAATAGCTTTTAAAGAAAGTCTGTTTAAATTATTTCTGTTGTTGATAATTATCATATTTTAGCATTTGTACAAGGAGCACAAACAAAATGGGATACTCCAATAAACCTGCAAATTGTAGTGCTAGACAAGAACTAAACATAATCCTAAATTTGAAACATCTAAATAATGTTCCTCTAATCAGTGTGTGTACAAAATCATTAGCACTTATTCTTGACTTTCCACCAATGGTGGCATTGGATCAGATTTTAGAAACTATCGAAGATCAGGTTCAAAATTTGACCCTCACATACTACAATAAATTGTTTTTCAAATTGCAAAAGCACTAGAATACTTACATCAGCTACAGCTTATTTATAGAGACTTAAAAATTAAAAATATCCTTATTTGGTCTATCTCAGTACCACTCCGTGATCCTTACGCAATAAATACACATGTTTAAATGGCAGCTTAATTATACGAAATTAATTTATCAACATGGTTATTTTGCTTTCTTCAAAAATTATTTTACAGGAATTAGTTGCCTGTCTTTACCATCTGGCACTAAAGGATTTGCAGGTACAAAAGGTTTTATGGCTTCAGAAATAATAAATTACAATAGTGAAGAAGAGTATACTGAACAAGTTGCCTGTTTTTCATATGGAATATTTATTTATAAACTGATTAAAATGCATCAACTATTTGAAATTCATGAATCTGCAAAAGAAAGTATTTTAGAAGAACACCGACCTGCATTGACTTATAGAGTAAGAAAGTCTTGAATAATAGTGTGAATAATTATTTTTTAAACTTTGTAAACTGAATTATAAAGTTTTACCAATATGATTCTTAAAGGAAACAGCTTATCCAAGTTATTTAATTGATTTAATGGCAGTATGCTAGTCACAAAGTCCAAAAGATTGCCCTTCAGCAAGTCAAATTGTATCTATAGTATAAGATCCCAAATCATCTCATTTTTACGATGTCCTATCACTTAGACAATCAGCTGATGTAATATCTTGTACTCGAGTACCATCGCCACTTTGTATGTATTATGCATAAATTATTTTCACAAATGATTTATCAAATAATTGTTATTGAATTTCCAAATTTCATCTAATGTGAAATATATATCGTTAATTTTTACCAAAATAATTTTTGAACAAGAGTTGATACTGCTGATGTGTGCCACTCTTAAATATGGAATGTTGGGAAAGTAGGATGCATAGTTATTTAATTTATATTTGAAAATAATAATAAACGTTTCTTCGTTTCAAATTTGATGAGAAAACTCCTTAGAAAATTGAAAAATGACCTCCTTAAAGTACGTCTCCACACCGATTTCTTGAAAAGTTGTTAACAGATAAAAAAAAATTAAACATCTTTGTAAAACCATAAGCTTCTTTGTTCCAATCAGAATTTAAAAGCACAGATAATATTTTGAATAAGTAGGTGTACTACTTACCAAATGGAAAAATATAATGAGCGAGGGAATGAAAAATTGAATAAGAAATTGAATTTAATTTAAGCTAACCACTAGCGATTAGACAATAATTTATGGTTATACGCACTTAATAATAATATTATTTAGAAAGAGCTGATACTGGGGATGGTAGCACACAATCCAACACTCGAATATTCTCGAAAGCCCATCCATACATGTACAAAGTGAACAGTTTAGATCTAGATTCTAGAGTAACCTTTTAAGTTACGGCGCATCACTCGGTATAACGTTGTACAACAAAAGCGCTACGCCGTGGAATTGGTGTGACGTGATCGTTCCCAATCATTGTCGGTATTTGTTTCCCCCTTCAAATTAAAGTTGCTCTATTATTCTCCACTACCAAAATTTGAACGTGGAATATCACGTCAACAAAATGGTGGAACAACAAATGTCAACTCGAAATTGGTTTAAACTAATACTCCATACTCCATCTATAAATTATAATATTCTGAAAATATTAAGATAAAACTATATTCGATTATACACAGTACAAGCGAGTGACTTCGACAGTGTTTAGGTGCATCTAAAATGGTGTCCTGTCACCCAAATAAAAAAGTCGTTCCACATTTTGCCTTTTCGTGTGATGCCATTTCAATTTGAAAGTGATATTAACGTGAGGCGTTCAAATTTTCACAAATATAGTCAAGGAATTTCAGCATTTTGCCTACGTAAAACGTAAAAACGAAAAATAAATATGAAAACAGTCAATAATTTAACGTTAGTGAATAAAGGGTTTTTGTACAAACTTTGAGTTATTAAAATATAAATTGCCTATACAAAACTCCTAAAATATTGTATTTTAGGTATTGGTGTATTTATGGTCTACACTTACTCCTTAATCGGGTACATATATTATGTAGTCCAGATTTGTACCGTCCAGATTAATACGAAAATAAAAAAAACCGATACTGGGGATGATAGCGGTCATTGTTATAGGTAAGAAGTTGGGAAGTTATGATATATAAGTTTATTTCATTTATATTTGTAAACAACGATAAACTATGGCTTGACGAAGGACGATTTCGAGCACAATTCGGTAAAACATAATTTGAAATCTCGTAATCTTTTTTGCGATTTTCGTTTAAATTTGATTTCAAAACGCTTATAAAAAAAAAAATTTCGATAATTTAGGAAATTTTACCACGTCTAAATAAGTCCAATATAAGTATAATTACCAAGTTTCAAGTTTCTACGTATATTTATAACCGAATTACAGCAAAAAACTACCAATAATTAAAATTCCTTAAAAGCTCAAAAGTTTTAACGATAATACGTTAAGAAAGTAAATCAAAAAGGCAACAAAAAATGTTTCTTATGATGATTTTTCGAATAAATAATTTTTTTCGGTAAAAAACGTCCGCGTTTTCATAAAATAACGAAATCCTGAAATCGTATGTTTTCCTACGTTTTTTTCTTTCTTAAGTACTTTTATTTAAAAAATGCAGTCAAAAATCAGAAAATGACCTTTTTAAAATACCATCTAGACAACATTTCCTTTCATGAGTGGTGCCGCATGAATATATTGGAGTAAGTTTACTAGGAAAAAACGTATGCACAGACTAAAAGAAAGAAAGAAAGAATACAAAATTTAACATTTTAGTAGAACCAATAACTCCCCTTGGTCTAAAATCGTAATTTCAATCATAAGAGATTGATTTTATTTCTTTTAATACATAATCACTGTCGTTTTTGATATCTAACGTATTTTTCATAATAGTTGGAAAAAACCAAAAAAGACAAAGTTTAACATTTTTTTTTTAATTTACGGCAAGAAGAAAAAAAAGAGAAAAAAATAAACATCTTAGCAAAACTAATATCAATAGAATTTAATAGGCAAAATAAATTATAAACATGATAATATCTTATTTTTGTAGTACATTTCTTATATTTACATAGAATAATTTAAATAAATATATTATTATGTTATATTTGTTCATTTTAAATCCAATGATAATTTTGAATTTATTTTTAATGAAAATTTGTATTGTTATATTTTTCATATTAGGAAAGAATAATAAGTTTAGAATTATTACAATCATCAAACATACTGGTCCTAGATTTCATTATATTTACTTATTACTTAAAAAACAGAAGTAGTCATTGTTGCTATTATTATTTATTCTCTTTTCATTAGAAATACAGTTCTGGGACATCACAATTAACATACCACCTTCTGAACACAATCATTGTCTATCTGAGGCCGGTGTTTTCTGGAATGTTTATCATGATACAAACATACCTCTATCTATGTCTTCAGAGTTCTCTAAGAGATATCTTTTTTTAGCATCTCTGAAATCATCGGGATTGAATTTTTTATCGAAATTTGATTCTTTCATAATTGTAAATGCATAGTATCCTATGTAAACTCCACAGTTATATGAATCTGTTTGTTTTGGAACGTTGATAAATGGACACTGAATAAATTTCATTAATTGAAATTCGTGCTTTTTACTGTGACACTTGTTAAAATATACACGGTGTTTATTTTACCAAGTTTCCTGGCATATGTTCCTAAACAAATGTCAATAACAAAGTTATTCAGTCTCCTTTGTCCCAATAATGTGCTAAAGGATGAAATGTTCAAATCTAACAGGATATTTGAATTTTGGTCATGTAATCGTATGTTCCAACTAAATAATGCATATTACTGTTTTTACCTGGCCGCTTTCATAGTTTGTAGTACATTAAATCTTTAGAAAGACCATTCTTGTAATGATTTTCCAACTGTGCAGGTTGGTTGTAAGGAGATCTAAAAACTGCTAGTTGAAACTGATTTGTTCATATAATTGTTTCTATGCGATAGACTTTAGTTTACTTGAGTCCCAATATAAGAATTTTTTTCACCATCATTTAATGGTTCGATATCTGCTGGCACTATGTTATTTAGATGATTTTCGCTTGTAACTTTTTTATAGACTTTTAATTTACGTTTCTTTTTAGGCGTACAATCAAAATTGAGCACTTTTGTACATCTAGTTTTTCTTAATTGCGTAAGTCAACTGTTTATGAATGTTTAGTATATGCTGTCTAGTCGATCTTATAAACTTGCTACATTTCAACCTTTGCTTTGGCGATTTTCAATATCATTATTTAGGTTATTTTTTATAATAGACGTCCAGAGCCAGAAGAAAGGTATACATTTTGCAATAAACTTTTGCAATTATGATTATTCAAAATAATCATTCATATTGTTCTCATCCATGCTAATTTTTTGGACATTACTTTTGACTTGTGCTTTGATTAACTAAAATCTGCAGTACATCATAGAGTTACTAGATTCAGACCCACACAGGAATTCGTTCAGTTCACCCAAGCTATTTTCATGATTCAATTCATCGGGTAATTTATAATGAAAATTATATTTGGATTTCATAGTAGTAATCGCATGTTTTGTTTCTTCAGTCTCTTTAGGGGACAACAATATGAATGCGAATATAATGAATGCATATGTAGTCTAAGCGCTATCAAACACCAAACCGAAGGGTGCGGTGTGTTAAAGCGAGTTAACAAACGCAGCCTTTATTTAACAATATTATAGCAACAATTTTACTGTTGTCATGGTAACTAGCAGCGTTGTCTCATTGGTTCATTTATTTTGATGGTGGGCCTTTGGTGACACTATTGATTGCTGCCGACCCCCTTATTTGCCAGTCGTTCGGTGTTCCGCGTTGTTATTACAATATGTGTGTACGCGCTTCGCGCCTGTAATATCCTTATCTAACCTTAACCTTTGATTTGTGTTTAAATAGTGTCTCTATTCACCATTATAATTATTATTTCCACTTGTTACATCATATTAATTATTGTACTGTAACAGTTTATTACCATTCTCATAGTCTTAAGTAATAAATTTTTGTAATTTTGATTCACTCGTTGATTTCTAGTTTCACATTATTAATACGTATTAGTAAATTTGTACTGATGTCTATAAACCAACATAACTACCAAAATACCATAACATCATCAACATCCGAAGTCAAAAACGTCAAGAGATGCATGTTAGAACATAATTATTCGAAATTTTCAAAACGAAAAATCACTAAACGAGATAAAAATGTTCCTGAGGTTTGTCATTGTTGTTAATTATAATAAAATTACTGGTAATATATAATATATTTTTATATATTTGTCTATTCTTATAGGTCACGGATATTGTTGAAATTCAAAAACCAGTAGTTGAACTAAAAGAGTCTTTGTTTGTTAAATCTAAAGCAAATCTCAGTTCAATTATTTTACCACGAAAATGGTTTATTGAACTGATGGTGAATAGCATAACTTTCTTCAAATTAAACGATACTTGTTTTCCTTGTAAAAGATATCTAGAAAAACAATTGACATTAAATAAAAGTACCTATAGTATACAATTAAATTTAAATTTTAGTTTTAATATTTTAATGTATATTTATTAGGGTAGTTGCTATTTATATGGGCTGACATTGTTTATAGTAGATCCTTATATTATTTTATGTAGGAAATAAAAATACCTACAAAATTTGAGATCATTTATTCATTTCCGTGTTTAAAAGGATTAGAAAGTTGAGAAAAAAGGGTTTTTTAATTTATAGTTCAATAGTTAAAGTAAGAAAAAATAAAAAAAATCACTAAATACAAATTACTCACAGTGCAATACAATTTTTTATTTATGTATTATTTGAAATGTTTAAAATATGTATTAAGTTTAAGGGTATTACAAAATAGTATAATTTCATTCGCTTTATGTTTCAAATTATTACAAATTTCAGTATTGTTTTTGAAACTATAATTATTTGTTAGGCAAATTAATTTCTAACTATTTTTAAATTTTTTAAAAATGGAATGATCTCCAATTTTGAATCTGAAAAAGTAGCTTTTAAAATAATTTCCTACATTATATGGTGGCATTATTTATTTTTTTACTTCTGCTGCTATTCACTAACTGTCATGTAGTTTTAAATATTTTGAACAATATTTGTTGGATCTTGAGTTAGTATTCTTGCCTTTCCCCAAAACATCAAACATTTATCAATAATAAGAATAGAACTTTCTTGTAAATTTAACACTACTATGCGCATGTTATAAAATAGTATTTGCAGGATAATCATTTATCTTAATTTGAAATATAAACATATTTAAATTTTAAAAGTATTTGTGATTAAATATTTCTGTAAATATTTGTTAACTCATAAAAACTGAAAACTGTATGTAAACAGACCATCATGTATATTGAACACATTTTTGGTGGATGGGATGGAACATCTGGAAAATATTGTTTTAAGTACCCTCTTTAAATTTTGGGAGTGTGAGGGGAGTTAAACCACTAAATTTACACCTTTGTATGTATACTAAAATATTAATAAATTAATACTACCTATCAATGTGTAGTATTTAATAATACGATTAACTAACTACTTATTTATTAATTTTACATTTGACCTTTTTAGATTCGGAAATAACTTTCTTTGTGAATGGAAAAAAATTAGTTCCAAGTAACTTTGGCTTTGTGAATTATCTGAAACCATCAGATACATTAAGTTTACAAAATGTAATTCATACATTTAACAGCATTATTATCTGCCCAGGAGTCCTAAAATCAGATCTACTTAATATTAAATTGGTACAGGAATCCTATGATCGCTGGTGGCATCCAAATTGTTTACATGTTCTATTAGATAAAAAAAGGTTAAGACTTATTAATATTGAAGTATGATTAATAATAATAATATTACTTTTAATAAAATATTTTTATATTTTAGTTGTCTCTGTTCATCATGTAATGAAATTTTAAAAAAATTAAAAACTAATAGAAGTCAACAGAAAAAGAGAGCCAATACTAGGAACTGGTACAGTCACCGTAGGTGAGTAGTTGGAAAGGTGAGATACATAAGGTTATTTAATTTATACCTGTAACCAACAATAAACTATTGATAACGAAAAAAAAATCGGTTATACAAGTTTTAAAAGGTTGTAGAATATTTACATCAAAATTTGATTTTAAAACTTAAATATATAAATAAAAAAAAAAAATAGTACATTAATTCAAATTTCTTTTTTTTACCACTAAATATGACTTATAATAAATCTCCTATCTAATTGTCAAGCATATCTATTAAGTTCTAATAATTAATCTACAGAGTAACTACCAAATAAAAATTACATTAAAAAAACTCGTAAAATGTCTTAAATAGCTCAAAAAAAAGAAAAAAAACTCAAATGTTTTGAAAATTTTACTACATCTAAGAAAGTTAAGTATACATTTTCTGTCAAAATGTCAAGTCTTTACATATATTTTATCCTGAATGACAACAAAATAACAAAATTGAAAAAATAGTAAAAGCATTATTTTTGTAAAATTTTACATTATTTTACATTTTATTTTCATTTTTGCTCAATTATTAAAAAAGCTATAAAGAAAATCGAAAAACGACTTTGTTGGTTTCCAACTAGATTAAAACTTTAATACAAAAGATCTCAAGGTATATATCTATTAAATTAATCATTTGTAATAGTTGGTGTAAGCAGTACAAATTTAAAAGAATGAAAATAATTTGGTGTAATTTAAGAAAAATCTTTTATTCCGTCTTTTTTGGTTTACCAAATTATTGTGAAAAATACTTTAGTTATGGACAACAAAATATTAATCGGAACAAAATCAATATCTTGATATTTTTTTATTAAAATCAGTAATGCTGCTAATAAATTTTACCGATTTACCTATAATTTTCTTTTCCAATTATTTCGAAAACATCAAGGAGAGAATATTACCTTTCAGAAAAAGTACTTTAAAATTTAGACTATCCACCGATAAAAATACTTCAGCTAAAGTAATGAATAAATAAAATTAACAAAATTACTTTTATCTATTCCAACTTATTATTACAAACACCATAGAGTTATAGAGTCTGTTCATGTTTCTGGGTATTACTAAACATAATCAGGTTACTTTGGATTTGGATTCCATTTATTTTCGGAAGGTAAGAGAGGATATTAAAATACATACTGTAGAATAAGTTTCAATTTTTATCTTTTTCATTGCACAAGTATTCAATGTAAACCACTTTTTGAATAGCAATTTATATTTTTAATACTAAATTCAAACAGTCCTAATTTTTTAATACAATTATTAGTATCTCAAAAATTACCCGATATACAACTACTTAAAGCTAGTTAAAAGATATGTGATTTACTGATTTTTGATAAATTTATAATGCATGACTTTTAAAGTGAAGACATTTGGCTACTGTTTTATTGGAAAAAGTTATATCATGATGATTTTAAAATAACACATATATAATGATATGTTTCAAAGTTATAAAAAAAATTAATTTTTGATTAACTTTGGATGATTGTGTCTCAGGTAATTTTTGAAATATAAACAATGTACTGATCAATGTTGCTTAAACAAAAAAAATTAAGACTATTTGAATCTAGTATCAAAACATCAAAAATAGGTGTTGATATTAAAAAGAAGTTGTTTATATTGTGCGTATGCTTATCAAAAGGATAAAACATTTAAAATTTATTCTTATGTTTACACTTCAATACCTCCAACCATCATCCAAAAGTGTAATATTTGGTGTTACCTGGAAATGTGAAACTGAATAATATATTTAGCTAAATTATTAATATGCCTCTTATATGTTTTAGAAGCTTAAGTAACTTCAATTTTTAATGAGGCATTGGGACAGTACATATTCTGCTACAAAATTGTACATTTACTATGAAAAATTACCTATACAAAAATTAATTATTTTGATCAACTACTCTTCTGATTCTTAACTTATACTGGTTCAAAAGATGTTTGTTTGGAGTTGCTGAATTAAAGAAATACAAACACCCATGGTGATTTTTTTGATAAAAGGTACATTGTTCTTAAAATGTTTATTTTTTACTTGAATTCATTAAAAAAAAAAAATCTATACTGTATATTATGGATTTATAATGAAAATTCAACTACAGCTGATAGAACCATGTGGAATAGTTTAAGGATTATTGGTAAAAAAAAAGTTGTAAAATATGTAATATATTTTTAAACATTAGTGTACATTTTTACTTTATTTTTAGTTTCTAATTTAGAAATTATTTTGGATATAAGGTAAACCATTGGTTTAAATGATTGATTATCTTACTCAATTATTTACATTATTTTTGCATACATTTTTACCTATTGTTTTCTTTGTTGTTTATAACTTTTAAATAATCTAGTCATTTGCTGAAGTTGTTGATCCAACTAAGATTCAACTACAACTAATAGACAAATTTGACAATTATTGGTAAAAAAAAAGTATTATTAATTTCTTTAAAAATATGTATTCATTTTTACTTAATTTTTAGATTCTAGTTTATAAATTTGTTTGTGTTTAAAGAAAACATTTGGTTAAAATGTATTCCATTTAACCAGTCATTAACGTTCTCAAAATTTTTACATTTTATATATTGTATACATTTTAAGTAATCTAGTTATTTCTTCAAAATTATTTTGAATTAGATATAATTAGTTAAAAGGTATTTAAATTATTATTGGCCTTAGTAAAATAATAATTTAATAAAAATAATAATAATACACTGTAATCATTTATTAATATACTCATTTATTTATTCATTAATTTATTAATTTTTATTACTATTATAATTTACTTTATAAGAATAATGTAGATACAGTAAAAAGTAAAATAATATACCCATTGTAATAATTTTCTTATCATTTTTGTTTGATTGGAAAAAATGTTTATACATCAATATAATAATGTGCATTGTACATCAAAAAAAAAACAAAACATATATTGCCAACTTCATTAATTAATCATTTCTATAAATATACTCTTAAAAAGAGAAACATTTTGTTACATTTTGAATCTTTTTGGTGTGTAAGAAAGATTGGTACATTTTCCAAAAGAAATTTTGTGTAAAATATACTAATTTTTTTTTTTTGGTTTAATTTTCTATGAAAATGGGAAAGCTTAAAAATAATGATACAATCATTAAAATATTAAAATCCGAAAGCACATTATTATTGAATAAGCTTTCTTAAATATAAACAAGTAAGGAAAGCCTACTCTACAGAGCTAATAGTTTCCTGATTGTAACTGTATGTTAAACAATAAACTTAAGTTCATAATATACAATTTTGAAAAAATTTAGTAATCTAGTACCTATATTATACTTATATGTAGAAATAGAAACATAAATAAAATTAATATTTTAATTTGTAAATAATTTACAAGATATTTTTAAAGTCTTTAAGTACCTTCTCCTGATTATACTATTACTTACATTAAATTTGAATACTGCCCAGTACGAATATAAATGTATTACTCATATTTAAATAATTACCTTATGATGATATTTAGACAAGTTTATATTTAAATTAAGAATAGGTAATAACAATGTTAGAAATAATATACATCTTCTTATTTGCTAAATTAACAATCAAAACTATGAATTGGAAAGTATGGATGGATAGAAAGACACAATGCAGATATAATATATCTAAACTCCAAACTTAAATTTAGCAATTTAAAATGTATAATTCATAATTTAATATATCCTCCTATATTTTGTTACATAGTTACTTAAACAAATAAATAAACTTAGACTATTTTAAATGTGTTCAAATGAGCTGTTAAAATGTTGATAGTTTTAATATTGTATATATCTCTTAAATGTGTAGGTGATAAATATTTGTAGTTATGGTAATATAATAGTTGTAATACATTTTGGCTAAATTTTAATATTTTGTAAATTAGTATGTAGGCCCGTACTTGTGTATTTTTTCAAATCTCTCCAGTGGCGTCCTCAGCTTTTTCCTATAGGGGGGGGGGAATGAACTGGATTTTGTTTTGTTAATAGTCATATACATAAATTTGCAACTTATACATATTGATATAAACATTGATATTTTAAATGGTTGGTAGTTAGGTATAAATAACAATGTAAATATATATATACATGATATACATTATACATAGGTACCTATTTGTTAAACTAATATTTTAAACCTTTTTTTCATTTTTTTTCATTTAAAGGGAATCTAAATGTTGTGTTGGTACCATTATCCGTACATTTTCAAGTGCTTAAATAGTAAAAGACAAAATTTATGTACACTAGGTAGTAAAAACTGATTTCTTTTATCTGAAATAAATTCTAAACTTAATGTAAATTTATCAACTTTCAAAATCTGGAGTTCACAAATAAGGTTATACCGTTTACATGTATACTTCCAGTCTTAAAAAAACTGTCCTAAGATAATGGGGTCAGGTGCAGTCACTGTTATAGGTAATTTAATGTATTTAATGTATTTAATATAATTTAAAGTAACGATAAACCATTGCTAATGAAGAAACAATACTGAGAGCAGTAAAGTTGATAATGATGATTTGTCTACAATATATATGTCATATTATGGTAAAATAATTAAATAGGCTTTATATATTTTCTTTAATAATATTTATTTAATGTTGTACCGATTTTCCGCTTTTTCCTGTGTTTTTCCTGGTTTTCTCATGTTTTTTCCCGGTTTTTCGAACATGTTGAGAAAACTCCTAGGAAAATCGAAAAACTACTTTTTTAAAGTAACTCCCCACTTAGATTTCCTTTCAGAAAAAGTGCTATCATTATAAATCGGAACAAAATTCTTTTTAGATAAGTTGTACACAGAAAAAAAAAGGCTATAATATTTTTTTACTAATACATTTTCCGTTTTTCTGACATTTAATCCCGATTTTTCCCAGAAATTATGAAAACCGCTTGAAACATCAAAAATTCACCGCCTTAAATTACTATGAAGATAAAATTTAATTTTAGAAAATAAGCTACACTTGATACATCGGAGCAAGATTTCTGGTAGAAAAGTTTGCACAATAAATCGAGGGGTATTTGCGATTAAAATTTTAATAGACTATTAATAGTCCGAGGCAGCGATGGCTGATTCTCTACTTCTCTAGGTACAACCAAAATGCATTTTTTTTTTCATTGTTTAGGTAAAAGATGAAGAAAATGCAAAACATTTGGTTCAAAACGTGGATTTGAACTCGAGACGCCTAGGATGATAAGAAGTATTTATATTTATAAGCTTTAGATCACGATATACATACCTAAAATAAGACAATATATAGTATAATATATTTAACATAACTCAGAACTTCAAAAAACTATAATTTTGAAACTTAGTCTGCTCAATTCTGACTTCACCATAGTTCTTAAACCGGCAATATACATATATTTAAAAAAAAAAAAAAAAAAAAATGAAAAATTAGATTTGTTCCACATAATTTTTTACACAAACGATTTTCGTCAAAATTAGTTATTACAATTCCCTTATAAAAAAAAAAAAATATATTAAACTCAATTTTTTTGAGTTGATACATGATACCGAAAATTGTCTTAACGCTTTTGAGTTCCCACAGCTATTGGTATAACTCTTGGTATAATCTAAAATCTCAACTATATAATTATTTAATCGAGGTAATACGGTATTCATGTGTTCCTTATTATCGTCATTAGACTCGATGATTGGTTGCTAAAAGTCATATTTCTACCCGATGATCAATCAGATAAGAAATCCTATGTATTGCAATATTCCTTGTAAATTGTATGCATTCAATGACAATTCGATTTAAAAACATCGAAGTCAAGAGTTAGTAGGTACCTGCTTAAACTTTTTTTTGAATCCGACCATAGGGCAGGATTAAATGATTTTACTGTGATGTAAGTTATTGAGATTATTATTATTATGTGTATAATTAAATAAATAACAGCTTAAAAAAAAAAGACATAAAGTGTTAAAAACACTTCTCATCAGAAGTGTCGATATTTCAAACCTCAATATTTGTATAAGTTAAATTTACTGATGATTTTAGGATATTGTAACCATAATACAATCGTAATCATGATATAACCATGATAACCACGATTATCATTTATAATCAAACCTAGCGTTAAGTATTATGGTACAAAAGTTTATTGAAATTAATGTTTGCTGAATATAGATCTGTTCTGTTAGATCAAATGTTTATGGAACAAATCCTTTCTGGTAGAAATATATTGTATAAAAACTATTTTGTAGTTAGTGAACATTTCTTCTAAAATCTTTTGTTCCCGTGACCATTTCTTCCAAAATCATTTGTTCCAATGACCATTTGTTCCAAAAAATCTTTTTCCATGTTTTATTCGTGGAACAAATATCCATTGGAAGAAACGTTCGCGGAACATAAGTCCGACGGTACAAATGTTTTTGGAAGAAATGGTTAAGTATGGGACAAAATCTGTCGGAATAAAAGTACTGTGGGACAAATGGGTTACGCCCGAAGAATAGTTGTCCACAGGAAAAAAAAATATAAATATCTTTGTAAAACCATAAGCTTCTTCGCTCCACTCAGAATCTAAAATATGAAATTATTAAAAATATTTAAGCAATTAGACATGTGTATTAATACAAAAGTTTTATTATAGCATAGTTAAAAACTGTATACCTAACTATAAATACTATTGATAATATATTAATTTAATGATGGTCCGCGTTTACAACATAGATATCGGAATATAATATCGAAATATTATGACTAGAGCTAGGATTTTGGTGACTTTTGCATTTTTTTTTTAAGTGCTATACAATTCTAATTAAAAACTAAATTTGTTTTGTGATATAACAATTTAGAATATGTGATTTTTATTTTCCATTTTTCGTGTTAAATGCATTTTATTGCAATTTTAAAATCATTTTTACGTAATATTACAAATATTACAAATATTACGTTCATTTTATGTATTTTAACTAATTTTTGTTTATTTTGGGCTTTTTTAATATGTTGTAAAGGTAATCCCAATTAGTACCTATAGAGAATTACCTACTCCAGTCCATTGATATTGAAAAAGTAATATAATTAATTGTCGATTTATCTTATCGGATATAGACCTATATAGTTTTGGGTTCGTTCGATATTTAATCCAATAAGATAATAAATAATTTTATATTAAATAATTAATTAATAATCAATAATAATTAAATTAATAATTTAAGATTAAATAATCTTATCGGATTAAATATCGAACGAACCCAAAACTATATAGGTATACAATAGTAACTTTAGTAGTGAATACTACACGTACCTATGTGGTACTACACCGATCTTAATTGTACACAATACTGAACAAATAATATTGCGACTAATATTAAAAATTAATATGAGAACTTTAAAACAGTAGTCAACAGTAGGAAGCCGTTGTTGCAGCCTCCTATTTGAAAATCTTAAGAATCATCTAATTGTGCAATGCAATAATATGTGTACAGCTAAAAAAAAATATGATATATTTTTCATTAAATTATTTAATTTATGATTTTATTGATTTTTCAGAATAATTATACCAGGAAGTGGTTACATTCACAAGTCAAATGTATACCTATTTTGTTCATAATTATAATTAATATTTTAAAAATAAGTCTTGGTCATTTTTGAATTTTTTTTAGTGCATTTTTGTGAATTTTTTAGGTCATTAAAATCCTAGCTCTAATTATGACAGTCCATTGGTACCTATTTTTTTTTAAAAATATTTATGCATTATCTGTAGATAATTACTAGTAATATAGTCTCTACTACTTATATTTTATATATATGATAATAATTAACATGACTAAAAATTAAAACCAACTATGTACTACTTTTTTTTCCCGAGAAATCTGAATCAGATTCGGAGCGTGGTGTAGGATTTTTGGTTTTTATCTGAAAATGTATCTGGAAATTGGAAATTTGGACCGTACAAATCTGGAAAATAAAATTTTGAAATCCGTATAAATCTGGACAGTACAAATCTGAACCGAAGAAATTAGACTGTAAAAATCTGGACTACATATTATAAATTATATATAAACGATTAAAGGGTAAGTGTAGACTAAAAAAAAAACACAATATAAAATACAATTTTAAGGGGCTATGTATAGGCAATTTGTATTGAGTTTTTTAAAATAAATGCTTGTACAAAAATCGTTTATTCAACGTAAAATAATTTACTCTTTCCATTTTTATAGAAGTAAGCAAAGTATAAAAATTCCGTAATTATATTTACGGGAATTTGATCACCTCACGTTAAAATTTGATTTTTCTTTTCAATCATTTGTTTGAAATATTGTTATTGTTTTTGTTTGATAGTACCTCATAAAGAAATCCAACACTCGAATATTCTCGAAAGCGCATCCATACATGTACAAAGTGATCAGTTTAGATCTAGATTCTGGAGAAACCTTTTAAGTTACGGCGCATCACTCGGTATAACGTTGTACAACAAAAGCGCCACGCCGTGGAATTGGTGTGACGTGATCGTTCCCAATCATTGTCGATATTNGTTTCTCCCTTCAAATTAAAGTTGCTCTATTATTCTCCACTACCAAAATTTGAACGTGGAATATCACGTCGACAAAATGGTGGAACAACAAATGTCAACTCGAAATTGGTTTAAACTAATACTCCATACTCCATCTATAAATTATAATACTCTGAAAATATTAAGATAAAACTATATTCGATTATACACAGTACAAGCGAGTGACTTCGACAGTGTTTAGGTGCATCTAAAATGGTGTCCTGTCACCCAAATAAAAAAGTCGTTCCACATTTTGCCTTTTCGTGTGATGCCATTTCAATTTGAAAGTGATATTAACGTGAGGCGTTCAAATTTTCACAAATATAGTCAAGGAATTTCAGCATTTCGCCTACGAAAAACGTAAAAACGAAAAATAAATATGAAAACAGTCAATAATTTAACGTTAGTGAATAAAGGGTTTTTGTACAAACTTTTAGTTATTAAAATATAAATTGCCTATACAAAACTCCTAAAATATTGTATTTTAGGTATTGGTGTATTTATGGTCTACACTTACTCCTTAATCGGGTACATATATTATGTAGTCCAGATTTGTACCGTCCAGATTAATACGAAAATAAAAAAAACCGATACTGGGGATGATAGCGGTCATTGTTATAGGTAAGAAGTTGGGAAGTTAGGATATATAAGTTTATTTCATTTATATTTGTAAACAACGATAAACCATGGCTTGACGAAGGACGATTTCGAGCACAATTCGGTAAAACATAATTTGAAATCTCGTAATCTTTTTTGCGATTTTCGTTTAAATTTGATTTCAAAACGCTTATAAAAAAAAAAATTTCGATAATTTAGGAAATTTTACCACGTCTAAATAAGTCCAATATAAGTATAATTACCAAGTTTCAAGTTTCTACGTATATTTATAACCGAATTACAGCAAAAAACTACCAATAATTAAAATTCCTTAAAAGCTCAAAAGTTTTAACGATGATACGTTAAGAAAGTAAATCAAAAAGGCAACAAAAAATGTTTCTTATGATGATATTTCGAATAAATAATTTTTTTCGGTAGAAAACGTCCGCGTTTTCATAAAATAACGAAATCCTGAAATCGTATGTTTTCCTACGTTTTTTTCTTTCTTAAGTACTTTTATTTAAAAAATGCAGTCAAAAATCAGAAAATGACCTTTTTAAAATACCATCTAGACAACATACGGCCTTTGTTTTCTACCATAAATATTGTTCCAATAGATAAACGACACGATATTTTTTGAAAAAAAATGTTGTCTAGTTTCTTAGTAAGGAAGACGTTTTTTGATTTCCGTATAGTTTTCCTAATAATTACGAAAAACCGAGAAAAAACGTAGGAAATACGTTACGGCATTGGGGTTTTTTGTTATAATTCGATTAAAAACTATTGTAGTGACCTGTAGTTTTCAAAACCACTTACATTAGCCATTTGTAGATTTGATAAAATTTTTAAAATTGTCTAGCTGTTTTTTGGCTATTTATAGGTATGTGCTATTTTCGTGCTTTTATGTGTATTTTTATTTGGTAGGTAAATTTTATTAAATTATAAGACTTAAAAGAAATGGTTGACAATTTATCTCAAGGTACATTATAAGTTGAAGTTAGTCGTAAAAAAAAGTGTTTAGTGGAATGCATTAGTTTTTTTTTCATAAGCGCTTTAAGAACAAATTTTGATGAAAATCATAAAAATTACGTTATTC